ATTACACAAAATACAAATATAATCTATATTAAAATTATTTGCAGTTAGGATATTGACAATAACCTATTATGTATTCATTGACTTCAAATGATAAAAACATATTTAAAATTAAATTATTAATATTTTCTTACTTTCTATTTTTAATTTTCGATTTCCATGTGAAGCATTCAATTCAAGATTTACGATGAATTTAATGTTTTATACACATCGTTTCCACCTCGCATTTTTTTATGCGCTCATATGAACATTTTTAGCAAATAATTATTGTGTATTAGAAGTCATCAATGCCACCATCAGGAACACCAGCACGTACTTTATCCAATACTTTATTAACAAACTCAGTTGAATGATTTGCTATCCGTATTTCTGTAACAATGAAATAAAAAATAATATCTTTTATTCAATATTGATTAAATTTAATTTTAATTTAAAAATAATTAAAAAAATAATTATTCACATTAATATAAAATAAAACAATTAATAAAATTTTATAAAATTTAATATTAGTAAATTTGAGAGATATTGATAAAATGAAAGTTAAATATTTTTTTATTAATTAAATATTATATATTAGTTCAATCAAATCATGCAAGAAAGAATTAAAAATTTTTATACAAAAATTTAAAAAAATACTAACTAGTAGCCAATTTACAATATTTCTCCATTTGACGTGTTAGCTCTTCTTGATTTTCAGGATTAGGTTCTGTTAATTTTGCTGCAAGTGTTTGTTTAGCCTGAGATATACCTTGAATTAATCGTCCTAAAAAATAATTATTTATCTAAATTAGCTTTTTTATTCATAATTTACTAGAAAAAAATTGTTTAACATATATATATGTACATATACAATAAAAATCTTTTTTTTATTTTTTTAATTTTAAAGAAATTTGAATTTTTATTTAATATTGTCGCATATAAATATAATCATATAAATATAAAAATATTTATATGAATATAATCATAAATACTTATTTATATGAATATAATCATAAATACTCAACTGTGTTCTTGTTCTAAGCCGTGTAATTTTATTTTATTTGCTTCATGTTGAGCTTTTTTCTTTAAGCGACATGCTCTTGAAGCAAGTTTATTCTTTTCTTTGCGTGTTTTCGGCCTTGCTGTAAATGGTAATTCGGAAACTGGCGTCATATCATTAATAATACGAGATAATTTATCCAATTCGCGACCTATACTATATAATTTTCGTGGATTTGGAGTAAGATCATTTCCATCTCCTTTTCGAGCTTTTCCACTGTGTTTAATTCCACGAAGTGCACAATGAGGACTAAAAACAGGATCTGTGGCTTCATTTAAAATATGTGGATCTTCAAGACGAGTTCTTGCAACTAATCTTTGTCCTTTTGGTCCTTTTGCTTGAACATTATATTGCCAAAAATATCGTTCTTTTTTATTATGTTTACTATCTCGATTTGAATCCAAACTTCCACTTCCTCCTCTACTTCCATTGTGTTGATCTTCACCATCACTTCCACCTGTATCTATACAAATATTCATTTTATTGTATTTTATACATTATTGTTGATATAAAGATATATAAAATTAAAAATTTTTAAAAGAGAGAATAGAATATTAAAAAATTATTTAATAATTTATTTATAATTTTAAATTACCGTTATCGCTGCTATAATCATCATAATGGTCACTATCATCATCACTATCTTCATAACCTTCATCATGACTGAGATGATCAATATGATACAATGGATCCGGACTAAGCGCGCCTCCTGTACTTATACTACTTGTTGAACCTGCTTCAACAACACCAAGACTTCCAGTGCTTAATAAATGTGGACGTGGCTCTCTACGAGCCCAAATTTGATCTAATCCCATTGTTCTGGTTGGTGCAGACATAGATAGTCTAGAAACTTTAGATTTATTATTTGTGCATCCAACATCCATTTGGCCATGGGAAGTATTATCAAAAGAATTTTCACATCGTCTCATTAATAATTCATGAAGAGCAGATTGTCCATTAGGTTTATTAATTGGATGTGGAGATGTCGAAGAACTTGCAGTTGAACTACCTTTAAAACAATTATTTAAAATTAATTTAAAAATATTTTTTTTTAAATTAATTCTTAAAAATATTTTTTAAAAATATTCTTTTTATTTTAAAATACAAATACAAATATTAGCATATAAAAAAAGAAAAAATAAATTTTTTGAAATATGCACACATATATTTTTAATAAATAATTTTTTTATTATTAATAGCTTCAAAATATTTAAAATATAGTATATTATAAAATATAATATATTATAAATACTGAAGATGTTTTAATTTTATTTCAAATAAAGTTTAATTATTCTCAATTAGAAAGAAAAAATTATTTAATTTTTTTGCTATCCTATGTACTTTACTATATATTATGTTTAAGTCAATAAATAAAAAATTAATATTAATCATTAAATATAAAAATATGAAAATAAAAAATTATATATAAACCTGCAATGTTACTAGTTCCTGGACTTGGAAAAGTATTAGGACTAATTGTTTCTAAATTATCTGCAACATTGATATTTATATTCAAATTAAATCCATGTGTATTTATATATGTTGGAATATTACGGTATGTTGAACCAGACTGTGGAAAACTACTTGGAGCAAATCCAACATTGTTATCATTAAATAATGGGGCAACTGATTGAACTACATTAACATCCATTTTAAATGGTTGAATCCTTTCTTCTGGTAAAAGTAAATCATCAAAATTTAAATCACCAAGAAGTGTATCATCATTTGCATTTAATTCAGCAAGTGTAGGTCCTTGAATAAGATCTGCTTTATCTACTTGTAATATGTCATCATCTTCCCATTTTTCTGTTTTAAAAAAATCATCTAATTGATCAGAATCTACTTTAAATGGTGATTCTATATGATCTGATCTATTGGGCCACATTGATGTCAATGGAGATGGTGAAAATTGTTCATATACACCTCTGGTACTTCTATGTCCTCCTGGTATTGGTACTGATGCTGAAGATGGACCCATTTCTTGATTTGGTTCTTGCTTTATTATTCCATCCATTGGACTAGCTTTGATTTTCGAAAATAATTCAATGTATCCAGATTCTCCCATTAATATAAATCTTGAATTAATTAAATTAAAAGTAATTTTTTAATAAGATTTACTTCAAAAAAGTACTTCATTTACTTCAAAAAATTTAGATTATTTAATATATTTAATATAAAAAACTTACCAATTTCTTTTTTTTTTCAAATATTCTATTCTTTATAGTGATTTAAAATATAACTTTTAAAATCTAAATTTTTCAATAATAAAATATATTTGATAATTAAATTCAATTTGCATAAATTCAGAAAGGACAAAAATAAATTAAAATCCGTATATGTTTACGGATTCAAAATTGATAGTTCAGGTAATTAATAAAATCCTAATATAAGGATTCATCCGTTTTCATACTTTGTGATATTACAAATTAATAACAATCTTCAATCATACGATTACATTCGTATAGTACATTCACCGCCCTCAAATGAAACGACCATGACTTTCGTCAGCAAATATTTTTCTTAGCCAACAACATTGGCTCAAAATATTTTCTGAATTTAATGTCTTGTAAATTTAACTTTTTTCTAGCTTTGACAAAAGATATTACAAACAAAAAATATATATTGTTATTTACTTTTACACTATTTTTTTTAGTTATGCACTGAAAATTCATACGATCCAATCGTAAAACACAGTTTGTTATTGTTTTGCCACAAGATTTCGAGACAGTATCACTGATATTAACATAAATAGGAAATGATCACATGACAAAAGTCGAGTATCCAACCAATGAAAACATTTCACCAATCACGAATAAACCTTTAAGTTGTCAATTACTTATGATTTGTGAATTTAATGTTGATTAGAATATGGTTAAATAAAAATTTATTGAACATTATAAACTCTGAAAAATATACATAATGTTATAAAACTATTAAAAATATAAAGTGAAATATAAAATTTATTTTTATACAAATTAATATAAATAAAGAAAACAATAATAAATATATATAATAAATACTTATAATAAATATATAATAAATAAAGATAATAAAAAAACATTAAATAATAATCAAAATTTGAATAAAAAAAGAATTATTTGTTTATTTACAATCTTTTGAAATAATATACTCAAATAAATTTTATTATATGATGTTTAAAATACATAAAATACATAAAATCATTTATAGAATATTTTTTATTATTAAACAAGTATATAATAAATTAATAAAGATAAATTTATAAATTATATTTTATAATATATAAATTTTATTTTTTGATTTTAGAAAATATTCACAATTAATTAATATCCTTTTGAATTATATACAAAATTTTTATATTAGTTTATATATATTTATATGTATATGATATGTATATGATATATCAATATCATACAATTACATTTAAAATATTTGTTTAAATTATTTTTATATATATATGAACTAAATTTTTATAAATATATATATGTTTTCAAAATTCATTCATGTTATAAAGATTAGTATAAAGATCATTTGAATTATATTTTTAAGTATCTTTATAGTTATTAATAAGAAAAGAATATATTTATATATTTTTTTAATAAAATAATTTCTAAAATAACATTTTTAAAATAATTTTTTTATATATTATTTTTTTATATATTAATAATCCCATAAATTTTAATTTAGAATGTGTAAAATAATTTATAATAATAATAAATAAAAACAAAAGAGTTTTTTACTAGAAAATAAAGAAAAAATTTTTACCAAAAAAATAATTTTTTTAAATATTAATATTAAATATTTTTTAATTTTTTTTTTTATTAAATTTTAAATATTAATAAATATATGCGAAATAAATAATAAAAATTAAATAAAATATAAATTTTATTTTAATAAAATTATAAATTTATGTTGATATAATATATATATATATACATCATTCGATTATATTTCTAAATAGTGAAGATAGCTAAAACTATAGCTATTTTGCTATTCTTACATTTATAAATTTTGTTAGAACAAATAATAAAATAGTGTTATTTGACGTTGCTTTTGCTTACATTTAAAGTATGAGTAATTACAAGTATTAAAAATATAATATTAATATGTATAATAAGATCAAATAATATATATGTATATACATATTTCTGAATACGTATAACTTTGATAACCTAATATATTATTGTAGAAAAATATTTGTTATGATTCAAATATGGCTGGTGATAAAGTAGTTGGTTGTTCTTCGCATCTAAGCAAAGAAAAAGTACATCAAGAAAGTACTTGTAATGAAAACTTAAATTTAGAAGAAGAATTTGCAGAGCCTATTGAATATGTACCTTGTCCTGAATTTCATTTTTCGGTAAGTTTTACAAACATTAAAGTGATGTATTTAAATTTTTGTATTTATATTTATATTTATATATTATTTAATGTTATTATTTAATATTAAATATTGCCGAATAATAAAAATTTAATATTGTAATTTATTTAAATATTAATTAAATAGTTGAAATATGTATTTAAATTTACATTATATTTTTATTTTATTACTATTATAAAATTATATATAAAATTATATTATCATTTTTCTATATAAAATATTGCAAAAGATTTTTAAAAAATTTTAATAAATATAAATTTTGTAATATTTATAATTATAAAAAATAATTATAAAAATATTTATCACTTACAAATTAATAATGTTTTGTATATTTTTCTTGAAAATCTTTAATATTTATTTAAAATATTTGTTAAAAGATATAATAATAATATAAATTAAGATTATGATAAATGAGCCATTCTATGTAATATAAAAATAACTTAGAACAAAAAAATTTTTTAAAATAATGTTTTTAATATTATTTAATTGTAATATTAATTATTGTAATAAGGAGAATGATTTTATAATAGATTATTATATATTATTTTGGTTTATAACTTATATAACATGATAAAAAAAAAATGAAATAATTGCAAAAAAATCTTTCAAGAAATGATAATTTTAATTATAAAATGTTTTAATAATGTACTCATAGAAGTATTCATAGAAGTATTCATTTCATTTATTTTCTAAATTATATTATATATATTAAAATATTTGATAACATATAACAAATATTTAATAATATATAATATAAATAAAGTCTTATATATAAATCTTTATATATAAATGTTTTAATTTATATATTTCTTTTAGACAATAACTTGTTGTTTTTGCAATGGATATTATGGACCATGTTTTGAAGAACCTGTTTGCTCAACATGTCATGCATTTTTATTTCCTAATGATATTGGTTTTTTGCAAGTTCCTATTTTCAGTGAAGTATGTTATTTTCATATATATATTTTATATATAATATTTAATAAAACTTCATTTATTTAAATATTATATTATATAATATCATAATATCTAATTACTTCATTTGAATAATGCAATTTCAAAATAATTAGAATTAGTATTTATTTTAACATTATGTTTAACAATGAAACAATTAGGATTATGATTCATTATTACATTGGATTCAAAAATTAGTAAATATTTGTTTAGATTTATTTAGATAATTTTAATATTTATATTAAATTTATATTTAGATAATCTTAAATATTTTTATTTTAAACTTGAAACTTTATTATATATTTTTGTTTGATCTTAAATTTATTATTTATATCACATTTATATCACATTTATATATATATATCACATTTATATATTTTAATATTAAAATTGACATTATATAATATATAATTTTATATTTTAATATTTTAATTGATAAAAAAATTTGATTATATATTGTATTTTTGTAACAAAAAATTCTTTATTTATCTTGGCTATATCTTCTTAAAGATATTTATCTTTTTTAGTTAACTTTTTAATATTTTATACAAAGTAACAATTATAACAATATAAATTTTATTATCATAATATTATTTTTAATATGATTGTTATTGACTCTTTTAAATTTTTAATGTTAATTTTTATTTATATAAATATTTATATAACTAATTCTTGATAAAAATTTATATTTTATATAAATAAATGAAGTTCAATAGAAAAAAATGAAATAAAATTAGAAATGTATTTTATGTATCAATATTTTCTAATTTTTTTTTATTTAGAAAACGGATGATGAAGATTCAGGAAATGATGAACCAACAGAACTTTATTATAATCATGAAAGAAGAGCTAGTCAACAGCAACAAAATTCTCCACAAAATGCAATTTCAAATGTATTAAATGTACCTAATATTCCCAATATAAACTGTCATATAGCACAATGTTCTAGTTTAAAAAATGAAAATATTTTAGTTATGCAAAAAATACATCATGGTATAAATACATATAGTTTTAAGAATACAACAATTGTATCACAAAATGTACAGCTTTCACATAACATGGATTCTAATAGTATGCAAAATATAAATAATGGAAATAATGATACTCATCATGAAAAATATAAAGAAAAAGTTTCCACTTTTAATTGTGAATCTATGGCAGATGGAGAATTACATAATAAGATTCCAATCAAGAGAGTTAAAGAAGTAGAAAATCGTCCACATTATCATTGGAATTATAAAAATAATATGGGAGAAATGTCAAGATCATATAATTTATCTGAGCGATTAGAAATGTTAACAAATTATAAACATGTTGAACATGAATCTATTTCAGAATTAGGTTTAATGGAAAGATTACCACCTGAAGTGTTATTAGTTGTTTTTTCACATTTGGATGATGTTAGTCTTTGGTCAGCTGCAAATGTTTGCCGTAGATGGTGTGGTTTGTTATCGACGCATGTAACATCACAACAATGGCAACAAAATGTTAAATTACGGTGGCCTTTATACAAACCTATTGGAAGTGTTAAAAATTGGTATAAAGTTTATGATTTTTTGGCTTCTTCAGCACCTTGCAGAACATGTTTAGCACAAACCTGTTTGAGATCGCGATCACCAAGAATTCAAGAAAATTCATGGAGAAAAAATCGATTACATAGTGAACTTAAAAGTTTAAGAATAGATCCTCCCGAAGGTATTGAAGCAACACCTTTAGATCAAATGTGTTGTCATTGGCAAGCTACTATAACTGGACCTGTAGGAAGTCCATATGAAGGAGGTTTATTTTATCTTTATCTACAAGTACCATGCAGGTATGTACAAATATATTTCTCTAATTATGTATTTAAAGTATTATATTAATTTAATTATATATTTAAAGTATTATATTAATTGATAGTAATTAAATTTCTGTTATAAGAAATTTTTTAAAATTGATTAAGGAAATATATTAATTTTTACAGTTATCCTTTATATCCACCAATAGTAAGATTCCTCACAAAAATACTTCATCCAAATGTTTCTAGACATGGTGATGTTGGTATAGACTCAATACATCATAATTGGTCATTAGCATTGACAATTTCAAAAGTATTAATCAGTGTTCAAAGTTTACTTACGGATCCTTATTGTCAGGTAATGTAATAAATAATAATCAAATATATTTGTAAATAATTTATAATTAATTATTTTATGTTTATAATTAATTGTATGAACTTTTAATTATATGAGACTTAAAACATAATTCAATGTTATAGTATTAATGAATATAAATATTACATAAATATAATAGAAATATACATAATAATAATATAATAATATAATATAATAGGTTTGTATGGAACCAGAATTGGGTGAAATGTACATGAATGATCGTGAAAAATTTGATGAAATTGCGAGAGCATGGACATGGCGATATGCTATGCATGATGTTGTAACTCCATTATAAATAATTTATAAATATCTTATTTCTTATATATAAGATGTCAAAAAAGAGTTACAAACTTTAATAATGCACAGTGTTTGCTAAAATAAAAAAAATCACTTTAATTTACTATTTATATATACTAAACAAATTTTATAGTTCGAAAGTATTTTTATTTATCAAAAAAAACATAAAAAATTATCAATTTAATGTATATTACTAATTGTCAATCACAAATTTGTTTTGTTAATATCAAAATAAATATATAATTTTAATTTATTTGTTGCATAATAACCATAATATGAAAATATTATAATAAAATATATATTTTAATAAAATGCTACTTAAAAATTTGTTATTTATCCTAATGTGCATTGTGCACTTATGATATTTGTAAATCTTTTTTTTAAGCTATTGTATGTTTTCAAAAAATATTTATTACAATTTATAATTAAAAATTTACATAAAAAATTACTCAAACAGATGTAAATCAATAAGTAGTTAATAAATAAACTTAAAATATATTAATATTCTTTTTTATTAATTTAATTATTTAATTTATACGTACATAAATATGTTTTGAAAATATAAATTCAATTCAGTCATTTTTTAAATTAATTTTGTTTCTACATAATTACACTATGTTAATTATAATATATGCTAATTAATACTATATATATTTTATACATTAAAATAATGAAAACTGTGTATCATAATTTATAATATATAAATGATTGTGTAATTCAACGATTTAAAATTGAAAATAAAAATTTTAAGACAGCAATCATATTTTAATTTAATACGATTATGATTTAATACTCTCCGATTCGAGACAAACTACAATTATGTCTTGATCCGATTATGCAATCAAGGACAGTGATCTTCTTTTCTAGTTACAATCCAAGATAAACAATAACTATTTAAATTCGATATTATAACCAAGAAATATAACAATTTCATTTCTCGGTCATTATCTACGATTTACGACAAACAGCCATTGCCTTGATCTCAATCGAGAATGACGATATTCTTTTCTGGTCATAATGAAAAATAAATAATCATATCTCGATTCGACATTATAATAAGAACAATAGCATATCTTGGTCCGATTATGCAATCAAGAATTTATTTTTTTTTAACCTACAATCTAGGATAATAATCCTTCAATTACAAAATTACAACCTAAGACTTAAAATTCTTTTATAATTTAATATTAGATGTTTAATTTTTAACTTTCATATACAAATAAAATATAAAAATAATAAAACATGACAAATTATAGATTATATAATTAATATTAATAGTTCAATTTATTGTTAAAATATTAAATTGCATAAAAAAATAATTATAATATTTTTGATGGTCTCATATATTTATGTATGTAGATATTTATTTCACTCTTACATTAATAATGAAAAATGTCTATTACAAAGTAAAGATAAAATCGCAATGCATTTTGTAAGTTCTAAAGTAAAAATAAATCTAAAAAATTAGTAATATTAAAATTGCCATTTTATTTTAAAGGATAATTTATTTTAAAGGATACATACTAGTTTGTAATATTTGTATATTATTCATTTGTTCATAAACTAATTGATACTAGTTCACTTTGTTCGTAGATTCGTGGCTATCGCTGCATGTGACGACATTGCTTAGAGACCATGAGTATTCGGGGGGAGAAGGGAGGTAATGACGTCGTAGTTCTCGCTTGCTCCATTCACTGACCGGCCGTCGCCGCGAGTAGTCGTGAGTTTGTCCTGCTTTCTTCTGCACATCGATACCGTTCCAGGATCTAACGGAATATCCCGGAAGCGTGTTTTAGACTTTCTTATTTCTTTTTATTTAAAATTCTTTCTATAGAATATTATAAATTACTATTACCGTTATTAAAAAAATTAAGTTCAAATCGATACTTTTTAATCAAAGCCTGGAATGTATTTGTGAAAGTTACTTATTCTTTCCATCTTTCTTCCTTTCGTGCTTTACGTTGTGTGTGCGCGCGCAGTCGTGTGTATGATTTGTGTACATAATAGTGTTTGTACGGATTCGAGAAGGTCTTTGGACGCGAAAGGATACGATCGATTACGATTCGTGGAAGGAGATATGACCGTCGCCGGAAAGGTAAGTTCTTTTAGAAAATGCTTTCGTTTTTTGGATTTTAATATATAAATTTAGATATAGCTATATTTATATATATTGTACTTAAAAATTAGAAATTGTAATATCAGAAATCTATCGTTTATGATTTTTTCATTTGTTTTGCTATATTTTTAAACGTGACAATTTAGATTAGATATAGGTAATGGTTTTGACTGTATTATATGCGCATGTGTATATGTGTGAACGCGCATGTGAAATTAAAGAAAATTCTAAACTACAATATATATTTTTCACATATATATTTTCAATATATATTTTTTTTATTAATATTAATAAAATTTCATGAAACAATATTAAAGAACGCAAAAGAAATATTTTATTATTTATTTTTATTAATATTTATTAAACTATTTATATGTTTTTATATGATTGATTTATTTTGTAAAAAATAATTTAATTTGAAATAAAATATGTTTATATTTTTATATTTTTTATTTAATTTTATTTAATAAAGTTTTTAGTTTTAATAATTCTTTATTGCATGTTGCTTTTTTTCTTTAATTAATGTTATATTCTTTTTGTTCTATTATTTTATAAATAACAGTGTCATGTGTGACCACATGACCTAAATTGGAATAATAAAGGAATTGATATAACTTTTTTTTTAAATTTTCAATAATTTATTTTAAAGTAATTATAAAAATCGTTTTTTAAGATATAATTTTTTAGTAATTGAAAATTTTTTTATAAATATTTTCTTTAAAATATATATAGTAAAATATAAATTTATATTATAAAATATAAATTTGAATTTTTTTTAATTAAAAACTACAAAAATAATTTAAATGATGAATATACATTATATATACTAAATTATGACTTAACTTTTTATTATATATTTTTTTAAAAAAGTTGTTTATAATATTATTGTTATCGAACATTTTTTCACTTTTCTATTTTACTATGTATTTATTGTTTATTTGGAAATATCAAAAAAAAAAATAGAAAACTTGTTAATAAAAAATATAATTTCATTATATATTTATTTTGCTTTATATTTTTTATTCAAATTTTCTTATACTTAGCCATTAAAATATAATATTATTTATATTCTATAAAATAATTATAAAAGCCTAAATATTTTTTTAATTATGTCATATTCAATGTGAATAAAGAATTTGATTAAATTTATAAAAACATTATTAATAAATAAACAATCATATTAATAACAAAAATATATATATTATCTTATTATTGCTTCAATCAAAAGTTAGTTGCGTTTTTTTTTATGTAAATTCAGTACATTACTATAGATCGAATTTAATATTTGAATATTTGAATTTTTGTTAATTTACAGATTATTTGAATAATTTCATTCAGTTAATTAATTTTATGTTGAAATTCATAGATTTGAAGATATTACTTTAAAGATAATTGATATTTTATTAATAATTGTTTCAATTTTTATGATTTATTACAAAGTAAGTAAATAAAATAAAATGATATAATATTATTTTATTATTTTTGATTATAGAATATAATAGCAAATTTTTATATAAATATTTATCATAAATGGAATTTATATAAAAACCCATATATCATGTATAGAGAAATAGAAAAACGCAAAATTATGATTGAATAATCTATTTTTCGGAAAATATTATAGAATTATTAAAATATTTATAATATAATAGATTGAAAATATAAAATCAAAATTTTTTTTATACTATTTATGATTTAATAATAAATAAAAATTGTATTCAATTCATAATTTATTAAAATTTAAATTTAATTAATAATTTCTTTTTTACTCAATTTTTGTTTTAATCTTTTGTAATTATTTTACTTTTTATTTTAAACAGTATCTATTTCGATATTTTCTTTTTAATCTGAACAATTAATCTGAATAGACATAATCTTGGAGACATTTTTTCACAATTAAAAAGTAATCGCATAATTTTCTTATTTCTTCATTATATCTTAACATACAATAATGATGTATATTGTTTCAATTTATAAACTCTATATTAATGAGTGTTATTTTCAAAGTGTTAATTTCAAATATTTTCTAACTTCAGTTTAAGTTGGTAACATAAATACAGTGAATGCAAGCGAACGAAAGAAGAAAGCTATTGTCGCTCAACACTTAAGTCGATTAATGATGAGTCATCATTTCTGTTGAAAAGAAATTTTTATAATTTTTATTCTTTCGTAATGAAAAAGATAGCAAATAAAAATAATATTCTTTATTTTAATGTAAATATATTTAATATATTTAAAGGATATATTATATATAAAAAGGATATATATTTATATAAAAAAAAAAAGTAAATTTTGTTAAAATTTCATTCTTTATGTTTTAACAAAATTTCATTTTAACAAGATTATATTTGATAATATAATTTATGATATAATTTTTTATGAATAGATTCATATATATTAGAACTAATAGTTGTTATTATAGTTAGTATTATAATTAGTAGTTATTTAATTGGAAAAAGAAAAAAGAATTATTTAATTCGAAAATTTTTATTTTATGCAAGTGGATGTTCTTTTTTAATGGGATGTCTATTTATTTTTTCCATATTTGAAAAGATAATGAGTTTTTTTTTAATTCTATTACAATTTATTGTTTTATTATGAGAAAATTTATTCTTTTTTTAATTTAATAAATATCAATTTAATGTAATCTTAATATTATTAAGTTTTAAGTATTTAGAAAAATAAATAAATGAAAAATTAATAAAATCTTATTAGATAGACCTTCATTTGATATATTTATGAGAAAAGATAATATGATTAAGAAAATATGATTAAGATTATATATTAATGAAATCTTAATCAAACCAAATTTGGATTTTTAAATATAAAAAGCAGAGATCTTTCAACTGAAATTTTCAAATGTAAATTAAAAAAAGAAAATTTGCAAAATTTTTGTTTATTTAAGAAAGTTTAAAAACTAAAACCTATCATTCTTAAAAAAAATATACTTCAAATTTAATAATTTTAATATCACAGATAATAGATGAAATCTTAAAAACTATAATATTAATATTTTTATTTAACTTGCTTTGAAAATGAATACATCTAATATATTTAGAAGTGATATTTTACAATTCTATTTGTAAAATGTATCGTTAAATTGCTACTTTAAGTTTTAACATAGTTATTTTATTAAGTTCATAATGTGATAAGTAACTTAAGTAACTTATAT